TCAGTTTCCACGCTTATCAGGAGAAAATACTCAAAAATTTTATATGAAATTAGTTTTTAATTTTTTATTTAAATAAAGGTATACCAGAATGTGCTGATATTAAAAGACGAACTCTGTTATGACTAAGTAAATATGGATTCAGAACTTGAAAATATTGATGACTTTATTAGCTAACAACAAAAATCGACCATTAAATACTAAAAGAACTCGCAACTAAAGAGGCATGATGTAGTAAACAAGTTATACAATTTTATTAACTAAAGAAATGTGAGTCGAGAGTTTGTGACAGAATTCCACTAAGACTCAGTAAACAAACCTTTTCAAAGATGCAAGTAAAATAAGCAGTACGTCAATACACCGGAAAAGAGACGAATACTTGGGTAAAATGTATATCTTAGATTATTGTGTGATTGTGAATTCAGACCACCGGTTGTCATATTAATAGTAAGACGACTTATAAAAACAGTACGATATGAGTATGCGCACGTCTCGAGTATAGCGTAGTGTCGTTTCATGAGAAAATGTTTCAAAGATTAACTTGACGGGGTTCTGTGTTTTTCTGAGTTATACATTACGTTATTACATTTACGATTACGTTATCAACCTATGTGGATGTATATTAGTATTTGAATCATAAGTATACGGTAACCTAATAATAAGATCTGTCGACACCTAGGATCACGGCTATTAATCCTAACCGTGTCATAGAGGTCTCAATGCCAACAACGGGACACTTGGTGAACCGTCTACTAGCAAAGAGACAGCAACGTCAGAAAATGCAGACCAGGAATCGCAAGATCAACTGGGAGCAGTAGCTGACAAAATCGAAGGTCTAAAACTTAGACCTGAGAAATTGAGCGGCAGTCAGAGGCGCAAGCTGAAGAGGAGCCGAGCAAACATGGAGGGGCAGAAGAACCTACCAAAGGAGGGAGACAAGGGAACCGATGACTTGAAAAAGTCAAAGGGAACCGAAGCTCAAAATCCTGAGGACAAGGGGCAAGAACCTCCATGTAAGAAAACTCATTGGGTACCGACCTACAGGGACGTGGTAACCGATGATAAAAAAGTGGCTCTGGTCCTCGCAGGCTACCCCACTAACAAGTTGACCACAGAGCAGGGGCTACTCATTGAGTCTTGTGTTGGAGACTTGATACTGTCGGGTACTGATGGAACCGACGTACCAAGGTTTGAAGACACCAGACTCACTGATGGAGCACTTGTGATCAGTGCAGCCCAAGAGAGCTCTCTTAAGTGGCTCACTGACCATGTCAACTTGATAAAACCTTGGGACGGTGCAGAACTCCATTTGGAAGCCTACAACCCGATCAAGTATAAACGGATGGTCACTCACATACCAGGGCTGCCAAAAGATTCCAAGAAGATCATGGAAATTTTGGCAAAACAAAACCCAGGGCTGAACACGGCGATCTGGAAAGTCCACCATGAGACAGAGGTTGGCCCGAAAGGACAAACTCTGTTTCTAAGTGTGGACGAAAACAGCATGGTCAAACTGGAGGAACTGAAGCGCAGTCCATATTTTGGAATGGGCAGAGTTTGCTTCACAGATTATGTTGCCAAGCAGCCACCAGCCCGGAAGGATGTGAAAAAA